CGGGGAGGCTGAGGAGTGTGATCCCACGATAATTGGAACACACCCTCCGGTCCCCCTTCTTGTAGAGAGGGACCACCACCCCGGTCTGCCACTCCATTGGCACTGCCCCCGATCGCCACGCGATGTTGCAGTGACGTGTCAGCCAAGACAGTCCTACAACATCCAGAGACTTTAGATAATCAGGGCGGATCTCATCCACACCCGGAGCCTTGCCACCATGGAGGCTACCAACCACCTTGGTGACCTCAGCCAGGGAGATGGATGTACCCGCCCCAACATCCTCAGCCTCTGTAACAGAGAACGTGACGGGGGGATTGAGGAGAACCTCAAAGTATTCCTTCCACCGCCCGACAATATCCCCAGTCGAGGTCAGCAGCTCTCCACCCGCGCCGTACATGGTGTTGGCAAAGAACTGCTTCCCCCTCCTGAGGCGCCGGATGGTTTGCCAGAATCTCTTTGAGGCCGACCGATAGTCATGCTCCATGGACTCTCCGAACTCCTCCCAGTCCCGGGTTTTTGCCTCTGCAACAGCCCGGGCCGCGGCACGCTTGGCCTGCCGGTACTGGACAGCTGCCTCCGGAGTCCCCCGAACCATCATGGCTCGATAGGACTCCTTCTTCAGCCTGACAGCATCCCTTACTGCCGGTGTCCACCCCCGGGTTCGGGGGTTGCCGCCGGGACCAGCACCAGAGACCTTGCGACCACAGCTACGAGCCGCCGCATCGGCGATTGAGGCAGAGAACATGGTCCACTCGGACTCCATGTCCCCCTCCTCCGCCGGGACCTGGGAGAAACTCTCCCGGAGGTGTGAGTTGAAAGTCCGTCTGACAGGGGGCTCAGCGAGACGTTCCCAGCAGACCCTCACTATACGCTTGGGTCTGCCAGGTCTGACCGGCTTCTTCCCCTGCCAGCGGATCCAACTCACGACCAGGTGATGATCGGTTGACAGCTCCGCCCCTCTCTTTACCCGAGTGTCCGAGACACGCGGTCGAAGGTCAGATGATACGACAACAAAGTCGATCATCGACCTCCGGCCTAGGGTGTCCTGGTGCCACGTGCACTGGTGGACACCCTTGTGCTCGAACATGGTGTTTGTGATGGACAAACCGTGACTGGCACAGGAGTCCAACAACTGAGCACCGCTCGGGTTCAGATCAGGGGGGCCGTTCTTCCCGATCACCCCTCTCCCACGTTTCCCACATGGGCGTTGAAGTCCCCCAGGAGAATAACGGAGTCCCCGGGCGGTGCACCGTCCAGTACCCCTCCCAAGGACTCCAAGAAGGCCGGGTACTCTGCACTGCTGTTAGGCCCGTAGGCCGTCACAACAGTGAGAGACTTGTCCCCCACCCGAAGGCGGAGGGACGCGACCCTCTCATTCACCGGGGAGAACTCCAACACGTGGCGGCTGAGATGGGGGGCAATGAGAATGGCCACCCCAGCTCGCCGCCTCTCCCCGCGGGAAACTCGAGAAAAGTGGAGCGTCCAACCCCTCTCAAGGAGTTGGGTTCCAGAGCCCAAGCTGTGTGTGGAGGTGAGGCCGACTATCTCTAGTCGGTATCGCTCAACCTCCCCCACGAGCTCGGGCTCCTTCCCCCCCAGTGAGGTGACGTTCCACGTCCCAAGAGCCAGATGTTGTGTGTGCGGACTGGGTCGCCGAGGTCTCCGCCTTCGACTGCCGCCCAGTCCTCTCAGCACCGCTGAGTTTGTCAAACTACTCTAAACTTTAGAATAGTCTAAATTTGTGCATACGTCAATGATCACATCCATCCCCAAATGAGTGCTTGTGTTTGTGGGGTCCTGACTTCTGGACATGTGTAGATGTGTGTTTGAGTCATGTTTTGTTTACGATACCCGGACCATGGTCTGCCTCGTCCAGATCGTCCGTGGGACCCTCCCAGACCCTCGTCCTCCAGTCAGTCAGTCCCATATCGTTCATGCTGGTTCCTGTGGAACTGTCCGGAAACGTGGTGGGCCTGGGGCCATTTTGTCAGAACCAGTTGTTGCTTTGTCTCTGTCCACTCTTTGACTGCTGCTGTGGGCGGGGCTTCCCTTGTCAGTGGGAAAGTTTCTTGTGAACTGCCCTATCTCTTCACAGGGATAGAAGCCTGTGGTCCTCTCTCTTCACAGGGATAGAAGCCTGTGGTCCTCTCTCTACACAGGGATAGAAGCCTGTGTTCCCATTCTCTGCAGGGATAGAAGCCTGTGGTCCCACCTTTATCAGGGCGGGTGATGGGCGGAGGGGGGCCGGGGACAGAGTTCTTGGCATGACTGGTTTGGGCACAGGGTGCCGGGGACAGAGTTCTTGGCTTTCATGACTGGTTTGGGCACAGCATCGGACTTGTCCATGTTGGGCTTTGTGGGTAACTGACGAGGGTTCTGGTTCAGGAAAGGGTTTGTCTTACTCTCCATATCATTGTCCTCCATCAGAGTCTGAGGTTTGGGGACGTTTAGTCACACGTCCAGGGTCTAGGTCGGGGTCCACACATCTGACCGGCTCGGAAGCATCCACAATCCCAGGGTTATCTATGTGAAAATAAAAAAAAAAGATACAGCAGTAACTTGCCCTTTGATAGATTGCGTGTGCGTGTTTGCGTGCATGTGTGTGTGTGTGTGTGTGTGTGTGTGTGTGTCGTCGCGCCTATACAGCTCTTGATAGAGTATTCAGGTGGTTCGATTGGGTCTCTTACATACATTGATGCTCTCATTCTGACTTTCCATTTGCGCTCCACACAGTATTTCTTTGTTTATCAGTCACTCTCACAGTCATTCTCGGTCACTCCAGTTCAAGTCTTATCACTCCTCTCGCTTCACACATCTCATGTCACTTTCATACCAGTCTGAGTCGCCCAGGACTGCACTGGTTCTGGGCTCTGTATGTGTTTGTAATGTGTGTATGGTTACATTTCCCCCAATGTAATTAACCAACTAATTAGTTTAAATCAACTACTCTTATTTTATTTTCTTTTACTCCCTCTACTTCATCCGTTCACACACTCAAACACTGTTTTGTAAAGAATTTTTACGCGGTACGCCAGACTCATTATTACATACGTCCGAATCTATTTGGTAGGTTTCATTTGCTAATTTTCTAAATGTTTGTAGTTTATAGACTTGATTTAAGCTTGAAGACCTACTGTCCGGGAAACCCTTTTTTTCCAGACCATACATTTGAACATTCAAGGGCCGTTGGCCCATATTTTCCGGCCATTGCCTTGGTCACCGCGGTTTGTGGGACCTCGTCCCTGTCAGCAGACAATGATCCCTGATTTTGACCCATCTTGGCCCACTATGGCTGTCCCTATTCTCCTTACTATGCCTCCGAGTCAAGCCAGTTAATACAACAATTAACTCTTCTGTAAACAGGAAAACCAGGAACCATTTAACTCTTAAAACTCACTAGTCAAAGTCAAGCCAGTTAATACAACAATTAACCCTTAAACTTGCTAGTCAAAGTCGAGCCAGTTAATACAACAATTAAATCTTCTGTAAACAGGAAAACCAGGAACCATTTAACTCTTAAAACTCACTAGTCAAAGTCAAGCCAGTTAATACAACAATTAACCCTTAAACTCACTAGTCAAAGTCAAGCCAGTTATTACAACAATTAACCCTTAAACTCACTAGTCAAAGTCGAGCTAACATCTGTAAACAGGAAAACCATTTAACTCTGAGAACAGGACAGCCAAGGCCTCTTGCTGGATGAAAATGGGGCTTTTAGTTTTTTGCGGCGAGTTAAAATACGGGGTTCTTTTGACAGTTTGAAAGAATACAGCTCTTACCACACTTGTTGTTTAAGTTGGTTCGTTTGGTCACCATGCGCTGGACGATCTCTCCAGCGTTATCTCGAACGTTGCGAGGGGGAAGACCGATTCAAGGTCGGGGTTGCGACCCTTCCTGGATCAAAACGCAGCGGACCCCTTCCAGACGACGGGACTGTTCGTTGACGCCAAATTGTTGTGGAATTTCTAAGGAGTGAAATACACAATATTAAATATAAAATAAAGAACAAGAGCTGTAATTCAAATCAAAGTGTGGCTTATGTTGCATAATTAAAATGTTGTATACTAATGATTTTGAAAATAGGCCCTCTGAAGAATGTGCACGGGGAAAAGCCCCAAGGACAAGGATTGCAAACAGGAATAAAGAGGGTCAAATGGAGAAACTACAATCAGTCATAGAGATACCAACTTTCAAAACGGGACAAATTATTAACTCCAGGAATAAACATTCTTGTCTCTCTGGCGAGGCCAAAAGTCCAAAAACACCATCTGGCTAATCTCTCTCAGGCAGACTGGGACATGGAGTCATCATCAGAGTCCTTGTAGAGTCCTGCATGTAGGTCAAATTGCTATCTAATACTAACAAAACCTTAAAAAGTTCTCTGGCTGCATCATCATTTTATTTCAAATCCAGAACCCCATCACAATATGAAAATCAACTTGTATTTAAAAAAAATAATGATTTCATAATTTCGAATCCATCACCAGACCTACTTCACGACTCCCACTGATGACTGCTGTCGTAGTGTCCTTGGGCAAGACACTTAACCCCACTTTGCCTGAAGCCCCCACTGAAAGATCTCAGCTCCTGTGGACTCACCACCTGCAGGAGGATCAGTGAGGGGCTGGTGCTAAGTGTACTGGGTGCAGCTCTGACTGCCACCCCCCCGACCCAGAAATGGATTAAGGGGAAGAAAATGGATGGATGGATGATTTCATAATTTTACATACATATAAATAGTAGAAAAAATTAATTGATTAACACAGTGAAATAACATAATTCATATTAATCTCAGGGTTGGCTCTCTAACTTTCAAGTTTAACAACCAAAGTAAAAGTTCAAAAATATCTCAAAGTGACCTGGTTTCAATGAATACACAACAAATACCTTTGACTCATACTAATATAAATAGAACAGAATCACAAATACATTTGTACTTCAGTTACAACAGAAGAATCAGGAGGAGTCCCAGGACAGAATGGAGCAAAGTCATTCTCACATCAGACACAGCAGAGGAGGCTGCAGTAGTAGTAGTTGTAGTTGTTGCTTGTGTTGTAGTTGTTGTCGTTGCTGGTGCAGTAGTTGTAGTCGTTGCTGGTGCTGTAGTTGTTGCTGGTGCTGTAGTTGTAGTTGTTGCTGGTGCTGTATTTGTAGTCGTTGCTGGTGCAGTAGTTGTAGTCGTTGCTGGTGCTGTAGTTGTTGCTGGTGCTGTAGTTGTTGCTGGTGCTGTAGTTGTAGTCGTTGCTGGTGCTGTAGTTGTTGCTGGTGCAGTAGTTGTAGTTGTTGCTGGTGCTGTAGTTGTTGCTGGTGCTGTAGTTGTTGTTGCTGGTGCTGTAGTTGTAGTCGTTGCTGGTACTGTAGTTGTTGCTGGTGCAGTAGTTGTAGTTGTTGCTGGTACTGTAGTTGTAGTTGTTGCTGGTGCTGTAGTTGTAGTTGTTGCTGGTGCTGGAGTTGTAGTTGTTGCTGGTGCTGTAGTTGTAGTTGTTGCTGGTGCAGTAGTTGTAGTTGTTGCTGGTGCTGTAGTTGTAGTCGTTGCTGGTGCAGTAGTTGTAGTTGTTGCTGGTGCTGTAGTTGTTGTTGCTGCTGGTGCTGTAGTTGTTGTTGCTGGTGCTGTAGTTGTAGTCGTTGCTGGTACTGTAGTTGTTGCTGGTGCAGTAGTTGTAGTTGTTGCTGGTACTGTAGTTGTAGTTGTTGCTGGTGCTATAGTTGTAGTTGTTGCTGGTGCAGTAGTTGTAGTTGTTGCTGGTACTGTAGTTGTAGTTGTTGCTGGTGCTGGAGTTGTAGTTGTTGCTGGTGCTGTAGTTGTAGTTGTTGCTGGTGCAGTAGTTGTAGTTGTTGCTGGTACTGTAGCTGTTGCTGGTACTGTAGTTGTAGTTGTTGCTGGTGCTGGAGTTGTAGTTGTTGCTATGAGAGAAAACACCAGATGTAAGTCATTAATGATCATACATTCACCATCCACAGAACACCTCCCCAGGGAGGCGTCCAGGAGGCATCCGGAACAGATGCCCTGAGCCACCTCAACTGGTTCCTCTGGACGTGGAGAAGCAGCGGCTCTACTCCGAGCTCCTCCCGTGTAACTGAGCTCCTCACCCTATCTCTTAGGCTGCGGTCACATGCACAGCCTAAAGCCCAGTTAAAGTGGGCCTGGGTGTGGTGCGGGCTTGATATTCTGCGTCACATTACGTCTTCCTTTGTGACGGGCATTTTCACACCCGTCTTTCCTGCACTTTCGTATTCTCCGCTTGTGTTAAACCTTTCATATAAGCCGGGGAAGGGAACGGTGAGAGGCAGGGAACGGTGAGAGGCAGGGAACGGTGAGACGGAGAGGCAGG